CAGTAAAACGGCGATTTTCTAATGTATTTAAATGGTAAAACCCGTTTCACTATCCCACCCTTTACATTTTAAGGATCTACGAAAAGGTTTTTTTAGTTGCATTTTATTTTGTACATTGTCAATCTAGTAAAATAGAAGTTTAATAAGCTTTGAAATAATATAATCTGTGAAGTATAAATAGTTTGTGTGAGATTGCTTTAATGGAAGTATATAACACATAAATATTAATTTTATTGAGAATAAGCGATTATAATTTAAACTATGGAGTACAAACAGTTGAAACATGAATCGTCGACCATTCCAACAAAATATAACAAGACATTGTATATGTGTTATTTGGTCCACTAAGTTTTTGCAAAAAAAAAAAACCAGTACAGTGGGGTCGGTGCATAGTGGGGACGGAGCATAGTTGGGTCGAGGCATATTGGGGACGGGGAGGTCACAGGTTTACAGGAATTTTTAAATCTGAAAGTGATAAAATCACTTTCGAAAAAAACGCTTCGATGCAAATCGGTAGTTAGTATTTTCAAGCCAGTACAGTCCAAACCAAGCACAGTATAAACCAGCAGAGTTAGAAAGTTTTAAATGAAGATTCTGTATTTGCAAATGAGCATCAAAGCGTTTATTTGAAAGCGATTTTATTCAATTTTATCACTTTTATTTATAATAATTCTTGTAGACCTATGACCTCTCCGTTTCCTCATTGCTTTGATTACATTATGCCAATACTCTACTGTACTAGTCCTCTCGGATAAAATCACTGAGTGTTTAAACTAAATATTATAATTTTATGAGTGGTTTTGTTTTAAATAAAAATAAAAATATATATTATATAATATCCTTGTGTATACATAATAATAAATTGTGTGTCGTTAAAGGTAAATTGACTGGAGGAGGAATTAAAAGATAATTATTGTAACTGGCTGAGGCACGCTTGGAAAACATGTAAATTGTTTGGGTGCTTCTCTCGATTTAGAATAGGGAGGGGTCACTTTATTAAAATTGTTGGTCCATTAAAGTAACTTTTAGGTAAGATTTTTGATCTATAGAATTGCTACACGAAGAAACCGGTTCAGCAGTTTAAAATATATTTTGAAATCAGACAAAAAAAAAATCACATCATTGTAAATTTAATACCTTCTCAACTCCACGTCGAAGCTAAAATAACAAACATTGTTAATACACCAAACATAATAAAATAATATAAATTAATCCACAAAAGCATAAAAAAATCATAATAATATTAATAATGAAAAATCAAAAATAATAATAACGTAACATTATTATTTCATTTTAACGTGATAAACAAAAAAATGAATTTAATAAAATAAAATATATTTATAGTTTATAATAAGGATATATTGGTGAATAGTAACTTCTTATTATATTAAAAGCAAGATTCATGATTGTATTGAGGGGATTGCATGCGGTCGGTTTTTTCAGTCAAAACATCATTTTTATTCTATTGCACAGACCGAACCAGTGATCCAATAAGCAATCTAATAACAGATTTTAGTTTGCCATGAAGTTTACTTATGATAGGTCAGGGTACTTTTTTCAAATTTTTAATTTTAACCCTTTCCAAATTTGATTTTAAAATTTGAAATTTTATATAATGTTCAAACGTGTTTTATACATAGTAGGAATAAGATACCAAAAAAGTACTCTGACCGATCATAAGATACTTCATGACGAATTAAAATATGTTTACAGATTACATCGGATTACTGGTTCAGCCTGTGCGATGGAACAAAAAATGTATGTTATATTAACTAAAGTGGTTTTTATTCATGGACAAAATAATACAAATTAAAAATAATACCATGAAGCTAATACAAATTAACCGGTAAATTAATTGACATGATCGAAGTTTATTAAAACCATTTTTTTCTTAAATATTGCCTATACAATACTCCTTAAAAACCAACCGCATGCAATTCCCTCAATTTATACAATCATGCAATTTATGCAATTCCTTAAGATTTCTTATGAAAGAAAAAAATTCTTGGTATTAAGGGAATTTAAAAAAATAGATTTTGAAAATATAAAAAGACTGTATTAAGGAAGAATACGTTATTATATTTCAGTACTTCAAGTATGTATTTGCAATTTATTTTGGGGTTTTTTTAATTGTGGAATTTTGTTTTTTGTTACGTATTAGCAGTTCATATAAATATTATATGGTGGGAATGTCCACCATACCATACGCGAGTGCTACACTGGCACAACATGCACGGGCAAATGATCGCGTCTAAGTGAATACCTCAGTCTTCATTGACTTTAAGAAAGCTTTTGACTGTGTTCAGTGGAGGAAACTATGGACGGTCATGACAGATATGGGAGTCCCTGATCATATCATCCACTTAATCAGAAATCTATACGCTGGGTCAAGGGCAGTAGTCCGAGCAGAAGATGCATATTCAGATCAGTTTCAACCTACCAAAGGTGTTCGACAAGGCTGCATTCTATCACCTATCCTCTTTAACATCTACAGTGAAGCAGTGTTAAAAGAGGCACTCCGGGAATGGAATGGTGGAGTGGTTATTAAGGGTAGGAAGATCAATAATTTGCGGTTCGCGGATGACACCACGTTATGTACCAAACTTGAGCCGGAGATGAGCCAATTACTAAAACGTGTTGAAGAAGCAAGCAACAAGTATGGACTGACAATTAACAGGAGCAAGACCTAGGTTATGGTTATAGATCGAGCAGGAGCATTATACCACCCACCACTGTATTAAACGGCTACCAGAAAGTGGATGAGTTTACATATTTAGGTTCAATAGTACAAGCAGATGGCGGATCATCCAGAGAAACTAGGCGTCGTGTTATTCTTGGGAGGGAAGCAGTCAGCAGGCTAATACCAATTTTGAAGGACTGCCATATCTCCAGGAACACCAAGTTGCGGCCGCTTAAGGCGCTTACCTTCTCAGTGATGCTTTATAGATCTGAAACATGGACACTCAAAGTGGAAGACGTAAAACGCATAAACGCCTTTGAGATGTGGGCCTACAGACAGATGCTGAGAATCTCTTGGATGGAAAGGAGGACCAACTTCTAAATTCTGGCCATGCTAAATGTGGAAACAAGACTGGCAGTGGTGTGTAAACAGAGGATCCTAAGGTTCTTTGGCCACACCATAACAAGGGATGAATCGTGTCTGGAGAATCTGATGATCGAAAGAAAAATAGAAGCGAAAAGGAGCCGTGGTAGAACACCAATGCGTTGGATAGACCAAATTTAGAACATCTCTGGTTTCCCCTGATCGAAAATATACTACCATTAACACGCACAAAGGTTTATTCAGTTACACACGAAATTCATTTGGTATAAAAAATTCAGTAGGTGAATTTCAGAAAGCTATTGAGCTTGCCACTGTTAATTTAGAAGGGTTAGGTGTATTTCAAGATGATGTAATAATTGCGGGTAATACGATAGAGCAATAAAATATATACTATATATAATATATAATGTTCTTTCAGAAACTGGTTTAAGAGTTAAAAGAAATAAATGTTGTTTTCACATAAAAGCAATTGAATATCTAGGTCATAAAATTGATGAGCAAGGCTTTCGCCTTACACACATTGTCAAGACACACTGACGCTAATTCTTCATCTCAAATTTCAGAAAATAAAACAATGCTGAAATCGTTTATATGTATGGTAACATATTATAATAAATCTATACCTAACGCAGCAGATATTTCAAAACCACTTTATTTGCTTCTACGTAAGGATATTAAATGACATTGGTCACCAAATTGTGACAAAGCGTATAAAAAAATTAAGGACATTTTTACATCTAAACCCGTGTTAGCACATTATGACCACAAACTTCCTCTGAAGCTTATTGTAAATTCATCATGTCATGCTTTAGACGCAATTATTTCACGTGTATACCCAGATAATACTGAAAGACCTATACAGAATGCAAATTTCCACAAATCGAAAAAGAAGGGTTAGCTATTATTTTCGGAATTACAAAATTTTATGATTACAATATGGTAAGAAATCTCTATTGGAAACGGATTACAAACCATTAATATATTTTTGGTGATAAAAAAGGCATTCCGATATACGCGGCTAATCGTTTACAAAGGTAGGCACTTGTTTTATCATCTTTTGATTTTGAAATACTTCAAATCTGAAAACAACGGGGCTGATTATTTATCTCGAATAAAATCTGACCAAAGTCATACGGATGATGATATTGAAGAAAGTACTCACATTAATTTTATTTATGAGGAATCCCCATTTCCCATAAATAGGTCAAACATAAAAATAGGTACAAACAGAGGTCTAATTTTGTCTAGAGTTCTAAATGCTGTGAAAACCAATGAATGGGGTGACGGTTTTTCATCAAATTCGGAATTAAAATCGTTTAATTCACGCTAAGTAGAATAACAATAGAACAAGGATGTCTTTTATGGGGCTAACGTGTACCTCAACAATTTCGAAATTCTATTTTAACGGAACTGCATTCATGCCATATAGGCATGTCAAGTATGAAAAGCTTAGCAAAGTCATATTTTTGGTGGTCCCCGTTAGATAAAGAAATTGAAGACATCGCACGTAACTGCAACGAATGTTTAAATGCTAAACCAAATCCACCTAAGGCAGTCATAACGCCTTGGAAATGGCCCCAAAGGTAGTGGACTAAGATACATATAGATTTTTTAGGCCCATATCAAAATAAAACATTTTTAATTAATGTTGATACAACAACAAAATGGCCAGAAGTATTTCCAAAAGATGCGATGATAGCAGAAACAGTCATTACAAAAATGTCTGAGTTAAATGCACGTTTCGGAATCCCAAGAACAATAACAAGCGATGACGCAAAATTTTTTTGCGGTGTTGAATTTCAGGCGTACTGTAAAAAACTTGGTATTAGGCATTTAACAGGTCGCAACGTTAACCGAAAGGTTGTTATTGCTGAAGAATTGTTTACTTTGTCAGTGTTTACTTTGCCAATGTATCATTTTTTTTTTTGTAATTAATCAAATAAATCGCGATATTTTGCGTCATACTTCAGAAAAACCGTTTCCACAAAGTCGCTAAAAAATGTATATTATGCTGTTCAGATAGAGTTTTCTCTGTACGTTACTCAGTTGTCTATTGTAGGTATAACTTAACGGTGTTATTCAGAATCAGAAACATTCGTTCGTCCATTATTGCAAGATGGAAAAAATCACCATTTTCTTTATAGCTGCTATCATCATGGAAATTTCGCTGGGTAATTTTAGAATTTTTTTTTACAATACTTTTTTTTTTTAAATTAACAAATATATATAGTTGTGGCTTAGTTATTTTAAATGACATAATAATATTGTAGTATTGGAAAAAGTTAATTTCTTGAATTTATAATATATAATTTCCTCATAGACTTTTGTAATCGGTAATGAATTTATGTATATCGACAACTAATCTTATTATTCATGTATTTTAGTCACACAAGGTCGTCCAGGTCCAGGTAATTAACGATAAGCAATTAACGACCCGGTTGAGTCAGATAAAAATATTTTTACTCTCCACACTTTCTTCCGTCTTAAATTTTAAACTTTAACAGAAATATATTAAATTTGTACCAACTAGTAACTATAAAAGTAAAAAAAAAGTCTAATATCTTCTAAGCTATTGACTCGGTCATAGTTAACCAATCACCCGGTACACTTCTATTGTGATGCAGTATAGTACTATAAGTAGACTAACGGAATTATATTTATACACGGCACCAAAAACTTCAAATAAAATTAAAGATTTTTTTTTCTGAAAGTTGCATCAACATAAAATATATGTAAATGCTATAAATATGTGTAAAAAATGAAATTACTCAATTATTATTTTTCTATTAATTATTATGAGACTTTTAAAGGTGGAATACATTAATTTTATTTGTATAATTTTGTTAAATAGTTGGAGAACAACCGAACGGTCAGTATAAACAATATAGTTACTCTATATATTAGTCGGTAATCAACTAAGAACAAAACTTTTATTATATTTACTGGAAAATTTTTTTTTAAAAAATGACTTATTTTTTTTACAACAAATCATGAGTGGTAATGGTAGGTTTTTGTATTTAGAAGACGCTTTGCTTAATGGGAGGGGACAGTGGGAGATTAGAAATAAGAACGTAAGAAGGGGAAGGGGGGAAGGTAAGAGGTAAAGGGGTGGGGAGATGAGGAGATGGGAGGGGAAACAGCAACGCGAAAATAGTATCGTGAAATTGATGACGCAAATGAAATGTACTCAGCCCAACGATTTTTATTGTTATTAACAGTTTTACTTTTTAAATTTTTATTTTTTATTTAACATGGTCATTTTATTAAGAATAATTTGCTGATAATTTTGATTAGAAAATTTTCTTAAAACAATCTTGAACATATTCAATAGAACAAAAGTTATATTGTTCCCATACAATAAATGGTATTCATTTTTTTTTTAATTTTATAATTATTTAAATTAGAACTCGTATCTCATTAAATAATTGTCCAACAAAAAAAAAAAAATTTGCAAATTTGAAATCAAGAGAAAAAATCTTGTTGAATTGTTATGTAACATGATTTTTTGGTATCTGGCCCCACATGCGTCCACGGGGTGGCCACTGAGTGGCCAGCATGTGATCAAAATTAATATATGACATGCGTATCTCATTTTGGGTTATAATCATTTTATTCTCAATTCAGTGGTGACCTTAGAATTATTTTATATTCAATATTTTAGAAATTATCATCATTTTTTTGGTAAAAATGTAATTTTTAATTAATAAGTTTGTTTCTAATTATTCTCTAGTGTTCTCCGTGTAGGACCATCGGTATTTCTTCCGCAATCAGATACAAACTATAATTAGGCTTTGTTTGATTTCATTTATACACTTTTTTATTTTTAAATAAATTAATACGTTAGGAGTAATTTTTTTTATTGAATATTCTTGTAAAAGTTTTTACACCTTATTTGTTAGATGTACTATTCAAATTTTATATATTGAAAAATAATTAATATTTCTACGAGAATAAAAGGTGATGCATGATTAAACAAGTATTTGCGACTTAAAAAAGTGTTATTTCATAAATTAAAGTACCGAACAATAGTCAGCGGGCAAACGTACTATAAATATTATACATTTAACATATTATAAATATTCATGACAACAGTGATACATTTTTATTGATAATTATGTTACAAAAAATACAAAACTTAATTTTTTATTACCATTTTGGATGGTGGTCGAAAATAAAATTTCTGCGGACGCTGAAAGTTACCATCAGAAATCAGAAATTTTGGGTATACTTAAATTGACATTTACTCGGTCATAAGACATTTCTATGGTCCTTATATATCCGCTTATATGGTGGATAATGTTTTTTTTTAATATTATTAATTTATACAGTAGAGACCAATAACACATATTGGGGATCACTATTTTGAAATCGCCAGTATGCTAAAAACAACTACAAATCATTTGAAAAAAATAAATTCATATAAATAATCTTTTGAACATTTCATAATCTAACCCATTTTTTAAATTATACTGAATTGAGTTGGATGCGTAAAATACACGTTTAACAAACGTACTATGCATAACTGGAAAAACTTAAAACATGAAAATTTAAAAGAATTAGTACAACAATTAAAACTTTTAAATAATATGTATATTTTTTCAAAAAAACATTCGGTTGAAAATGAATATTGTAACTTTTAATTTAATGTAATTAGTAATTACTTAAGGTAACCACTGAATTGAGAATAAAATTCTAACCATTTTGGGTCGCATGCCATATGGCGATTTTGATCACATGCCGGCCACTCAGTGGCCACCCTGTGGTCGCATGTGTGGCCAGATACCAAAAAATCATGTTACATATCAATTCAACAAGATTTTTTCTCTTGATTTCGAATCTGCAAACTTTTTTTTTGTAAGACTATTTTTAATTGAAATACGAGTTCTATTTAAAGAATTAAAAATTAAAAAAATGAATACCATTTATTGTACCCATAGAGCATCCTGGATGTCTCATTTGAAGCTCGGTAGAACTTTTCATGACACCCTGTATATGTATATATATATACGAGTATATTGGTAGGTATAGTTTGTAATTTACAATTCTTTTAAAAATGTACCACTAACCTAACGTAAATTTTAAAACCTATATTAGAATAAAACTTAGCCAAGTTAAAAATAAATTACTTGGTATGCCAGATCCTAACTTATAATATTTTTGAATTGAAATTACTAATCTTATAAACATAACATTTGGAATATCGGAATTGTTATTCTTTCGAAATGGGAAATATTAGTTAAGACAAGCTAATTATTTGTAATTCATACCACTGTGTGATGATCCAAAATCTAGATTTTAATTGTTTTATTAGAATAAAAGCAGCCTTGATCTTTGGCATCATAATATAATAGCAATAGATTGACTACATCAACCAGTTGTGTGAGATTTTCTTTATTCTCATTCTTATTAGGATATGCCATGGGTATTTAATGAGGAGTATATCCAATTTTTATCATCTTATAATATATGCTAATACAAAGTAATATTAATAACTTATTATTTTATTTTTTTTATGCCACAAGATTCGTTATATCCATGTGGTAAGTACCAACTATGAAGTAAATACACAGATAAAAATGTTTTTGCTACTACATTGATTTTGAACGATACTCAATACTTGTACATTCTACCGATTCGCATCGAAGCGTTTTACTTGGCATGTTTTTATGAATTATAATTTATACACATATTAGCTTCAATGTGAAACTGTGAAGGTTTGATTGTTCTTATAATGTTGTGCTTTATTTCTTATTATCACTAGAAATTATTGCCACTAAAATTATTTTATTTATTTTTGACATATTTCTACAAATCTTACTTAATTTTTTATAAAAAGTTTTAATAGTAGAGCTTCTAAATTCCATTGATATAACATGAACATTAGCATTTTTTTCTTGCTTTATAAAGACAAATTATTGTTAAAAAATAATGAGAATTCTTAGATATTGCCTATTTAAAACTCCTTAAAAACAGACCGCATGCAATCTCTATTACGATGGAGGAAAACTTAGATGGAATACTTTTATGTATACTTAGTAAATATTTATGGAGTATTGCATAAAAACAAGTTGTTTAATTAAATAGATTATACTTACTTTCTTCACAAACTTACATAATATTTATACCACAGTAAAATCATATTAACTCCTCATTTTGTTTAGTCGACGAATATCCGCCAGCATATCCACCACCACCAGGTATGTAACTTCTTACAATTATAGACACGTTATAAAAGTACTTTGTTTTTGACATTTTCATGTCTTAGCTCTGGCACATAACCGAAAAAAGTATTACCAATAAGTTATTACGAAAATTAATAACGAAAAAAGCGTTATCACACGGAAATGGGGTTGTGGGTGGGAATGGGGTTGGAGTTGAGGGTAAGAATAGCGGTAGGGGTAAGATAATTGTCTTAAGACAGATATTAAACACTTCAATATTAGCCAGAAACTTGATGTTTTAATGTACTAGCATGTTACTGCTTCTTAATATAGTATATCATTATCTATTCCTTATTTTATTCTTTACGTTTAGGTCCATATCCACCACAAGGTAAGCGAATAAAGGAAATATATACATATTTTCTTGTTTTTTATACATTTTATTTATAAGTTTGGATTGTAAATTTTTTTTTTATCAATTTAAATGTTTTTTTTAACCATCTTTTATCACTTTTTTAAAAATTTACTTATTATTTTATTATTTTAATCTCAAGTTTATTAAATGAGAATCGACTATTTATCTATATTATGTATTAGAGAATAAATTCATGCTGATAACTAATTTTGTTTCTTAAATTTAGTCGCAATTGGTGTACCAATGTACCCAGAAGGTAAATATAACCTAGTTATAATTAAAGGCACGTCATAAAACTTATGTAGATTTTTGTACATTTTGTATAAAAGTTTGAATTGTTGAACATTTTTACTACGATGGGGGAAAACTAAAATGGAGTACTTTAATGTACACTTAGTAAACTTTTATGGTGAATTGTATAGATAGAAGTTATTAAATTATATATTTTATTATACTTATTTTCTTTATTCACTAACAGAATACAGGTTGTGAAGTATTGGACCTACAGCGCTCTGGTAAGACTTAAATAAAAGAAGAGTTGTCATATTTCGAATGAATTCCACTAGATGTCTTTTACACGCCCAACTACATGAGGTCGGCCGTCTTAGTTCTACACCTATCCATCTTTTCTTCGGTCTTCTTCTTACCCTCTTTTCCTTTACAATCATCTTGATAACGCCCATCATTGCCTCTGCATCATCTCCTCTCATAATATGACCAGACCATCTCAACCTATTCTCTCTCGTTTTCTCTAAAATTGATGCAACCCTTGTTTTATAGCCATAACTGAATTACGCTTCGCGATCTCGATTACTTCTCTTGTGAGGACACCATCTTAAGAAACTAAAAAATGAAGGCGGGAACGTAGAGAGACATTTAGTGGCAGTCATTGGAAACTTGACAACTTTCTCTTCCATTCAAGCACTACCAGAACGCTGTAGGTCCAATACTTCATAACCTACAATCGTTTGTAAACCCCACCATTTTTAACCCCATCATTCTTTTTGATACACCCTGAATATATGCAACAATAAAGTCAAGTTGATTCCTTATTTTATTCTTTACGTTTAGGTCCATATCCACCACAAGGTAAGCGAATAAAGGAAATATATACATATTTTCTTGTTTTTTATACATTTTATGAATAAGTTTGGATTGTAGATTTTTTTTTATCAGTTTAAATGTTTTTTTTTAACCATCTTTTATCACTTTTTTAAAAATTTACTTATTATTTTATTATTTTAATCTCAAGTTTATTAAATGAGAATCGACTATTTATCTATATTATGTATTAGAGAATAAATTCATACTGATAATTAATTTTGTTTCTTAAATTTAGTCGTACCTGGTGTACCAGTGATGTATCCCCCTCAAGGTATGTTTTACCCAGTAATAATTAAAGGCACGTCATAAAACTTAAGTAGAACCTTTATTACGACGGAGGACAACTTAAATGGAGTAATTTTTATGTATACTTAGTAAATTTTTTGGAGATTGTATGTATAGAAGTTGATAAATAACATATTTTATTATACTTATTTTCTTTATTCACTAACATAACATATATGCAACAAATTGATTCCTTATTTTGTTTTTATCGTTTAGGTAGTCTATCCAATTTGGTACCAGCTCAACAATCGGGTCGTAAGTATTATATAGCAGTTAAAATTACACAATTCTTAATTTATTGATATAATTGGTTACCTTGGATAGAAGTTTATTAATTAAATTTATTATACTTTTTTCTTCATTCACTTACATTATAAAATAAGGTTTTTTTTATACAATTTTTTTGTAAAAGTTAGAATTGTAGAACATTTTTATTCTGAAAATATCAAATATTTAATTAAGTAGAACCTTATTACGACGGAGGACAACTTAAATGGGGTACTTTTTATGTATACTTAGTAAACTTTCATAGAGTATTGTACAAATAGAAGTTGATAAATTATATTTATTATACTTATTTTCTTTATTCACTAGCATAACATATATGCAATAATGAAGTCAAATTGATTCCTTATTTTGTTTTTAACGTTTAGGTAGTCTATCCGATATGGTACCAACTCATGCACCGGGTGGTAAGTATTATCTTGCGATTATAGGCACGTTATAAAATTACTTTGTTTCTTTTTATATAAAAGTTTGGGTTGTAGGACATTTTTATGTGTACTTAGTAAACTTTTAGGGTGTATTGTATAGATAGAAGTTGATAAATAACATATTTTATTATATTTATTTTCTTTATTCACTAACATAATACAGGGAGTATCAAAAATAATGGTAGGGTATCAAACGGCTGTAGGTTGTGAAGTATTGGACTTACAGTGGTCTGGTAGGACTTAAATGAAAGAGGGAGTTGTCAAATTTTAATGACTACCCTTAGATGTCTCTTACACACCCAACTACATAAGGTCGGCCGTCTTAGTTCTTCACCTATCCATCTTTTCTTCGGTCTTCTTCTTCCCCTCTTTTCCTCTACAATCAACTTCATAACGCCCATCATTGCCTCTCCATCATCTCCTCTCATAACATGACCAAACCATCTCAACTTATTCTCTCTCGTTTTCCCTACAATTGATGCAACCCTTGCAAAATTTTGTATGCGGCTATAAATTCATATTGATATACATTATTTTGTTCTTTACAAAATAGTTCTTTAAAAAAACTACTCCTTCCGTTCTAACCCTAAATATGGGTAAATTTTAAAACGTATTTTAGAATTGAAATTACTGATCTTATAAACATAATATTCGAAATATCGGAATTTTTTTTCTTTTGAATTGGGAGATATTAGCTAAGGCAAGCTAATTATTTGTAATTCATACAACTGTGTGATGGTCCAAAATCTAGATTGTAATTATTGTTCTATTGGAATGAAAGCTGCCTTGATCTTTGGCATCATAATATAATAGCAATAGATTGGCTACATCAATCCGCTGTGTGAGATTTTCTTTATTCTTATTCTAATTAGGATATACCATGGGTATTTAATAAAGAGCATATCCAATTTTTATTCTCTGATAATTTATGCTAATATTAAGTGATATTGATGTTTAATTTTGTTATTTTTTTTATGCCACAAGGTTTTTATCCAATTCATCATCTGGAAGGTCCGCAAGATTATCCACCACCAACAGGTAAGGTATCTTCTTACAATTATATGCACGTTATAAAATTACTTTGTTTTTTTTATACACTTTGTATACTATTTTTTTTTGAAGAGATAAAATATCCCATTAAGTAGATGAAACGTGTATTATTGGACATATGCATTCTCACTTACTTGACAAAAAAAAAAAATTATTGTTAAAAAATAATAAGATATAAAAAAATATTTTTATATTATAACATTTTTTGGAGATTGTATGTATAGAAGTTGATAAATAACATATTTTATTATACTTATTTTCTTTATTCACTAACATAACATGTATGCAACAATGAAGTCAAATTGATTCCTTATTTTGTTTTTAACGTTTAGATAGTCTATCCGATATGGTACCAACTCATGCACCGGGTGGTAAGTATTATCTTGCGATTATAGGCACGTTATAAAATTACTTTGTTTCTTTTTATATAAAAGTTTGAGTTGTAGGACATTTTTATGTGTACTTAGTAAACTTACTAATACTCCCGCGAATTACCCGACAACGGTCTAGGATTGGACCGGTTGACGTCTTCAGTGGCAGCTATTACGCCATCCCACGGATGGTTTTCTGTAGTTAAATGATCCCGTTCGGACCCATTACAGCCTAAATCACCATCGCTGTCGTCGGCGATTGTATCCTCCAATAGCTCCGCTACTCGTAGCCGCTTTTGGTGCACGGAATCAGTGTTCGACACTCTTCGGTTACGGAGTTTTACCGGCATGGAATTATACTCCGCCATTAACTTTCCGGGTAGAACTTCCGGGACAGTTAGTAACTCACGAGTTAACTGCTCCTGCTCCCGATCAGTCTTTGGATTTACCGGACTATTTGCCTCGGAGAAGTTCGCACAAGGTTCCTGGTCGGAAATGTTGGCGATATCCCTTGGTGTATCCGGACGCTCTTTGACTACTTCGGTTTTCACCGGAAGTTTCCCCGGTCCTTCGGTTTTTACCGGAGGTTTTCCCGTTTCTTCGGGCATAATAACCGCAAACTGTCCATCTTTCGGTCGTCTTCCGGCAAATTTTGGATCCTGGTCGGACACTTTGCCTTTAGACTTCCGGCTATCGAACAGCTTCGGCATAACTGTGGTGGTTACCGGTTTTTCGGGTTGATTTTGGTACCCTGGTCGGATACGTCTGCCCGCTCTTCGGTAACCTGGGAGTTCGTCCTTTTTAGGACCTTTTGACCGGCTGATTTCCCGTGAATCCGCCAGCCTTCCGTCCGTTTCCCTGGTTCTGGTCATTGTTCGGGCACTCCGGCCGATAATGACCCGGGGAACGGCACTTCCAGCACCAAGGTTCGGAGCTTTTCGGCTTCTTAGCCGGGCGCTCCGAGTAGTTTTTCCAACCTCCTTTATTTTTCACGGGCTCTTCATAGCCCTTGTGATAGGGAGATTGTGATGAAAATGCCGGGCCATGCACGTCCAGTTTTGCTGCCACATCTCGGAGGTCCTCCAGAGTTAGAGGGTCGTGCATATCGACCAGCATTCGGAGTTCCCTCCGCATCAGTTCAACGGTGTTCCTAATTAATTGACCTTCAGTAAGGCCAATTTCCACTCGTCGTGACAGTTGGACTTTGCCTAAAACAAACTCCTCACTGGGCTGTGTCTTGCCCTGCTCTTCGCTAAGAAGTTCACTCCGGAGTCGTTTTAAAATGTCCTCATTGTTAAATTTCCGGAGGAAACATCGTCGGAACTCGGACCAGTTGGGATCTATGGACCGTATGGTCCCCCACCAAGTTCCGGCTTCGGCTTTGAGCTGGTGGGTCAACACTTTAACCCACCTCCGTTCCTGGATGCCGATTTCCTCGAGGATGTCCTCCGCCTCGTTTATAAATTTGAGGGGGTCCTCATACCGCTTCCTAGAGAACTCCGGAAGCGATGCCCGAGCCGCGTTCAGGTTGTCCTGAGAAATCAAGGTCGTCTCTTGGAACTGGACTCTTCTCGTCGAATTACGAGACATTTCTGCGGACTCGTTCATTCTCCTCCCATTGGGACCGAAGGAGTTCTCGTGGTACCGGGAGTTCCGCCCGAAGGACACGTCTCTTCGGCTGTTTTCACCGAAGGTTTCACCGGAGGATTCATTTATCCGGTGGTTTTCACCGGAGGGTTCGGCTGTCCGGTCGTTTTCACCGAAGGATTCGCTTGTTCGGTGGTTCTCACCGGAGAACTCGATTTTCCGGTGTTTTTCGCCAAAGGTTTCACTTCTCCGGTGGTTTTCACCGGAGGGTTCGGCTGTCCGGTCGTTTTCACCGAAGGATTCGCTTGTTCGGTGGTTCTCACCGGAGAACTCGATTTTCCGGTGGTTTTCGCCAGAAGTCTCGTGCGTTCGCGAGATAAAAGTTTCCCCTTCCGGAAACCGTACATTTCCTCGGTGAACGTCTCTTTCTCCGGACAATGGTTACGTCCCGACGAAGACCGGCAATCACCGCGTTTTGTCCGGTGATAATGACATTTTGTCCACGTAGACATTTATCCATCGTCTCCATACGCGTGAACAGCTCGTCAATCACCTCATATACACTGGTTAGCTTGTCCCCAAACGTACTCATCTCCTCCCCTCCTCGATTAACCGGTTATCGGAGTCCAACTCCTGTAGGGTTACACTGTCGACGTTTAGGGAGGGTGTATGTGTTGCCGGTTGGGGAAGGTCCGGGTTACGCTCGGCGTAGTGGAACCTCACCGTAAGGGGATTTACCCCCTCCTCCGTGCGGATGTACTCCTCTAAGCGAAGAGATAAGTCCGCCTTACTACCACCCGTCTCTATGATATAAATTAAAAAAAAATATTTAAATTTTGCACTTACCTTATTGTTAATGGCCAGTCCGACTGCGCCAAATGTTGTAGTCGAGATTGATGGGGATTGACAAATGAAGGGTACACTGGTGTTCAGGGTATAAACTTTATTTTCACAAAATAAAATATGGTTTTTTATGTAACAAAACGTAACGCCCAAACGGTATCCAAACAGGAAGTGGTCAGCTGGCGGCGGCGGCGGCGGCGGCGACGACCGGTTCGCGCTGCCGACCCGCGACCCGACAGACTAAGGTCAGAGATGCGGTCGCCAGCCAGCGGTGACGAATGTAGTTAGCATCCGCCACCGGCTGGGGTCGCGGTGCGACCGCGTCAA